CGTTATATACTTTATATTGTATGGTATAATATATTGTGTGTATGTATGGAGTGGTTGTAGAAAGAGAATCGATTGCAACACAAAAATATATATATTAAGGAGAATCGGATGGAAAGGCTATTTGTTTTGGACGTCCAATCAATACATGTAGTGATTGGCGATGGTTTAAAAATGGCAAAATACTGTATCTGATCCGGGTAATGTTTTTGCAAATATAGTAAATGTTTTACTTACTACTAGAGCCCATACCACCGATCGGGCCGTTCGGGTTGCCTGTGCTCTCTCGTCAGCTGTGGATGCGCTCCAATTGTTTGAATGAAAACACAAATATCCAAACACATTAAAATGTACACAAATAAGCCGACCACCTGATCAATTAGGCTCTGATCAATACACACAATGTATATATAGTATAACTGTCAAATAGTCTCAACAATATAACTTTGGCCAAAAATATATAGTAATAATAGTAAACAATTTAAAAATAATATTTACAAATAATAGGCGAATAGAAAGACAAACAAACAGTGAAAGTGTTGAGAGAATGAAAGACACAGAGAAAAAAGTGTATGACTTTAAGCGCTGAGAGAGACGTGAAGTGAAGAATATATTTTTGTGAAAGAATAAGAGCTCTGTTTAGAGCGGAATATTAGAGCAGAAAATGTGTAGTAAAATAGAGAGAGAATGACAACAATACACACAACACATACACAACAGCCCTATTCTGGAGGGTTTAGGAGCACTGGTATGTGTGGTGTGAGTGGAGAGAAGCCGAGTGTTCAATATTTCTCTCTATATATACGGCATATATCGATATACAGAATATATATGGTATACACTGTATATATACAGCGCAAAAAAGATGTTGTGCTTTTCGGAATCGTATGGACTGATAGGGCGCAGTCGTGGCCCCCGTACCGGCTCATCACCGTTTTATCATCGTAAAATATAAATAGTGAACTCTCTCGGCGCATATAACACTAATATGTACATGATCATTGATTGTCATCTATATTGTTATTGGTTTTAATAAGCAAATAATAAATATTTGTATACAATTACTTATTAAACACCGAATATGGTGATATAATGGTAGCGCATACCGTGAGTCGAGCGTACGAAATATTGGTATTATCTTTGCCATAACGACTGACCTACTCTTCGTGTCCTGTGTTGAGACATAGCGGACACATATATCATACATATATAGCAGAATATATACAGAATATTCTTACAATGTATACACTCTTAGTGTGCGAGAGAGTGAAAGAGCACTGGAATGTGATTTGGAGTTCAAAGACGAACAAAAAGAATATAAATTATGACTTAAGAAGAAGAGAATCACTTTTGCAGAGACTATACAAATACACAGAATATTCTTTAATAATAGCGTATAATTTGTTGGTTTTATTTTCAATCTAATCATTTCAGAGCTATTCAACATTAATGTTAATGTTTATGGTATTGAACAACCCCATTCTATTGAAAATAAATTGAAATTATTACCCTGCTATAATTTATCTTGAAAATGCCAATCTCTCTCTCTCTCTCTCTCTCTCTCTCTCTGCTAATTATATAAAAATAAATAATTTGTATAAAAATCAACAACATATATGTACAAATAGTGTAAAAACATTTAATGGGCCAAAAACAGACCATATATTAAGCACAGACCGAGTCGTGTATTAAATGTTATGTCAATTACAGAGTGTGTGGAAAGAAGAATAATGCACAATAAAAATGATGTGATAAATGATTAATAGCCATACAATGCAAATGCGAGACAATTAATTTAATAGCAAGAATTTATTAAAGAATATTCACTATACTCACCAAAACGTAAACTATATTTTTATGCCAAACGTTTACAGAATAAACTAGATTTTTAAATGTATTTACCATATTATGGTGTTTTAGTGTTTTTTCAAAGTTTAAAATATTTATTTTTCAATTATTTAAGCATTAAATATACAAAATATTTTCTTGCATGTTTTACAAGCAATTCTATCCCAATTGTATGTTACAAATACCAAATCAAATCAATATACAATATAAGGTTTGCATTTATTTTATTTTTACATTAGTTTTTGTTTTATAAATTTTCAGTTATCGGAGAAATGTTTTCCGTGTTTTTCACTATTTATATAAATATATGTCGATATTCTGTAATATAGTGTATATCTTATCAAATGTAATGTGTTTTTCATGCCATGCCTTTTGAACGTTACTGTAATTCAATTCAATTTTCCGAGAAAAACGCATACAATTTGTTTTAATATAAAATCAGATATAAATTCAATTCAATTTCTCATGTTTTCTATCGTTTTCAATCAGAATTGTTGAAAAAAGAGTTATCAATGAAGAGAGAGAGAGAGAGAGAGAGAGAGAGAATGTGAATTTAGCGCTTGACTAAAAATTGAATAAAATTGCTTTTATAAAAATGCAATACTTATTTGGAAACGAAAAATTTCCATTCAAACCCATTGACCTAAACCTTGGGCTGTATTCCTATTAAATGCATACAATGTAAAGATAACATATATTTGGCGCACATTTACCAGTAATACGATTTGTGAGTCCAATTGAATGCAAAATCCAAATGATAATAAAAAATACAGAATATATTTGTCGTAAAAATACTACTTATTTTTATTGTTACCCTAACTATGCCTTTAAGGCTATCGTTTATTGTCAGATAAGTGGCGATTAATGGGCTTTAAGTTGATTTTAATGCAAATAATAATGTATTTAGTAAATCAAAAACGTTATTATTTAATTAAATATATTTAAATATATGTAAAATGCATCAAGATATGTAAAATATTTTGATTTATAAAATGACAAAGGTCACCAATTCTGTGGAAATTTTACAAACATTTTCTGATGAGTAAAATTAATTTAAATATTTTATTACAGATACTTTGTTGATGTCATAGGGATAGCAATGATTTTATTTTTATTGAATTATTTGAGATAAAATTATAGTAGAATTTAATATAATATAAATTGTATGTATAATATGTATAACATGTTATTTTATATAATTGACAATTAAATATTTATACTGATAGGTTGAGAGAGAGAGAGAGAGAGAGAGAGAGAGAGAGAGAAATGAGATGTCTTATATTGAATGCCACAAACAGGTCTATACTGAATATACATATTTTAAATACCCGACTACTGATGTCTTTGTCAAATATATGTATTCTTATGTAAATATTCGTATTCTGTATATAAAAGAGAGAGAGAGAGAGAGAGAGAGAGAGTTAATTTACTGTATTTTACCATTTTATATTTATATAAGTAATTAAATTTCTGAAAAATATAAGTTAAAATATTATTTTATATCTTAAACTCTATAATAATATTTATTTATTCTTGTAATAGTGTTATATAAAGTGGTAAAATTGGTAAAAAACATTGGTAAAATTATTCTAGAACTAAAAGCAATTAAGCACATTTAAGTTCTAGACGTAATTTAATTAAATTTCTGTAAAAACCGTATAAATACAAACTTTTATTAATATAATTTTGAAATATAATAAATTAATTAATATATCAAAATTAAGAAACCATATTTGCATTCTATTAACAATTATTGATGTTGTTAATAATTGTTTAGATTTTGTCATTTTATTTATTATAACATTTATACAATTAAATTCAATTTAATTAATAATACATTAGTATTTGTATAATTATTATGATAAATTTAATAATGAAAAATTTATCAGTTTTAATCACATTAATATTGTGTACAACAATTATACCGTTTGGTATGTATTAATACTTAATTTTAATATGTAAACACTATTTAATATGTTATAATTATTATGGTAATATAATTTAAAATAATACTAAAAGTAAATTTTATATGAATTGTTGTTAATTGATTTAATTGTTAATTTACTTTAAATTTACCATGTTTACTTCTCCGCAAACTTCCATTTGCAATTTTATAATGAACATATATAATAATTTTATAATAACCATTGCAACATGTTTGCGGAGTAGTAACCATATTTATGAACATAAATATAAAACATTTGGACTAATCTTAATTAATATATTAAATGCTAAGCGGAGTGCGAGGGCGTGGATGTGGCGAAGGTGTCGGACATGTTTTCGCAATTCCAGGAACGCATTCACAAAACACTGAGTTTGATCAAAGAGAATAAGTTACACGACAGCGGGGTTGAGTTGGCGGATGTGAAGGAGTCCTTGAATGGCATCACTCAACTCATGTCCACCAGCAAAGAGTTGTCGTCATTACCAGTCGCCAGCCAACTGCCCAAACTCGCATCCATTACCAAGTCGTTGAACATGGATTTCGACACCGGAAACAATGAGATGGTGGACGGAGTGATTGGCAAATTAACGGGTGCTTTAAGCATATTGAGCTCAGTGCAGGGTCAGGTGGCCGGTGCCACTGGTGGAGCCGCTGGACTCGGTGGCAAAAAGTCGTCATCAGATTAGATTGGTTTAGTTTTATGCTGTTTTAAATACTGTATTAATGTATGCTGTATATGTGCAAGTTAATAATTAGTAAATAAATTCTTATTTTAATTAATATGCCATGGTTGTTCAACTGATATACAATAAATACTATAATAATTTCACAAATTATAACTTATAATACTATTTTACAATAATTTTGAATATTAATAATTAATTTTATGTGACTTTTATAAACAAAACAATATTTAAAGTGTGGCTGAGTTTTCATTATATACTCCTTCGACACCCGTTTGGTCCGCGTTTTTCAATTCATTTGTTTTAATATTTGCTCTGAAAATAAAAAATTGCAGTAATAATAATTATTCATATATAATAATCACCACAAATAACACAGATAATTATAATTAAAATTAAATGATACTAACTGTTTGTTATTAAATTCAGTCCTTTCACTGGGAGTCATGTTAAGAAATCCGCCCTTATTCTCGTCGATTACAAACAACACCATTATTGCCATAATTGACACTAAAGGATCATGATAATTATACGTTAATGTAATTATGCATAAAATTGATCATGGTCATACCCGATAATAATGCTAAAAACAATATTTCCAATACTAAATATCCTTTACTGTCGACAATGACAGCCATAGCCATGGGAACGACACCTAAGCCTAAATTCTGTATGGCTTGCGTGAGTCCATATGCTGTGCCCAGTGTTCGCTCCGGCACTACAAATGATATCATTGCCCATATAGTGCAGGCAAGTAATGAATAGCCGATACCTAACGTAACCATTCCGACCCATGGGGTCAGAAATGTGAACGCAAACAAGGCGTGTGCGGCCAGTGATATGAAAACCGCCAACAAAACAAATGTTACGTTACGGCCCACCCGTCCCATCGATATTCCCAGTATAGGTGAGGCCCCGATTGACATCATGTATACTATACTGTCCACCGCTTGTGAATTCGTTGCATTAAATTTGTATTTACGCGCAAAGAATGGACTAAAATATGAATTAAAATAATTATAGAGAGAGAAAGAGAGAGAGAGAGAGAGAGAGAAAAGCAAACATACATTCCGTATGAAACGAAAGGAATAATAGTCATATAGAATAGCGTTATAACAATAGTTATGAGCCAATAGTCGAGTTTAAACTCTTTTATATCTTTAATGTTAATCTTATCGCTCTTCACGTCCTCAGCCTTCAGCTTCTTTTCAGGCCAAGTGTCCCGAAATGCCAGTACTATACCAATCACGAGATCATACGCGGCCACAACCGATGCAATAATCAAAGTTATACCCAACTGTTGGTGACCGGAGTACGAGCCGCCGACCCAATCGTATATGGGTTTCATAACGTTTAGATTGATGGTAGCGGCGGCCCGGGATATACTCAACTGTAGGCCAAACACTAGACTCAGGTCTTTGCCTTTAAACCACTTGACGGCCCGCATGTTTGCAGTAATATCCAGATTATCGCCGCCGATAGCGAACACAAACCGTCCCAAACACATGAGCCAAAACAGGTTGAGATACGCCCCCAAACCCACCAGGAATTGACCCGTGAATGTAAAGCACGCAAATATTATGGCACCCAATTTGATACCCAGGAGGCGGTCCACCAGAAACCCACCCAAAAGATTGAGCACTACATTTGGCCAACTGTACAGCGAATACAATAAGCCGAATTCAGTGGCGCTTATATTCATATCATCCATAGTCTGTGTTTGCAAAGCCCCGGGAGAATCGAAAGAAAAATAGTTACCTGCATAATCACAATTTAGTTACTTAATAATTTTTCAAATTGACTTTTTAAAATCTCAATCAAAATAAATTTTAAATAATTTTACTTTAAATAACATAATATATTTTAAAAGGTTTTTTTAGTAAATAATATACTGTTTACATAAATAGTGTAACAAATATTAGCAGGTATGAATTTTATTGTTAAATTTATTATTTAATAATTTAGTCACATGTTGGTATGTAGTGACATCATGCTGAACATTAAATTTGGAGTTTAACAATTATTGATATTAACAATAATTATACTCCATAATTGTAATATTGGTCAGTTTAAAACAATCATAAAAACTTAATGAGAATAACATACCAATTCCTAAAGTACACATGAATACCATGAAGAAATATCTGTGACACTGATGTGCCGGATGACAGTATCCCACATCTGAATAGTCCTCCTCTTTCTCAACATCTGCTTCATTAACAGTGTCTTCATTTCTAACAACACTCTCATTGTCTGTATTATCCATTGTATTGTTAACTCAATTAACAAATATTTCTGAATTATTACATTTGGTTACTTTTATATAAAGTTTATATATACATTTAGCGATTATATATTTATTATATAATTTTATGACACGTTTAATGATTATATAATAAATAATTAAATTAGATAATTATCTTTATCAAACAATAAAATTTGAATGGAATTAACAGTTTCAGCAAGCAGAAAGATAATATGCACTAAAGTAAACATTATTATATGGGTTACATTGATTTAAACAACGAATTTGGAAGGAGCATTCAGTAATAAGTTTATAATTGTACATAACTTTTATTTTTAATAAATTAAGGTACGTTACAAACATTCTTAACTAAAAATTAAAGCAATATTAGTTATCATAATCAACACTTAAGGTTTAATTCAAATAATTTCTATATTATTTTATTTTAATTACAGCTTGATGTTATCGGTAAATGATATTAAATTAATGTTAATAAGTTATTATATAAGATAATAATAAGTTAAGATAATTAAAATAATAATAACAGTTAAATATAATTATTTGGATATATAAAATAATATTTTACTGCTAATAAAAATAATTTTAATATAATTATTGTTAATAATAAAATATTAGCATTTGTGAATCTAAATAAGGCAACTCTATTAACATTATTATATTGCACACAAATAATCATTCTCAAGAATATGTTTACTTATTTTTATTGTTAATCATTAAATCAAAATATAAATATAAAATTGTGATCATGGTCACAAACATTTAAAAATATGCGTATTAATTAGTAAATTTTAATTAATATACAAAGATTGTTTAACAGATATGTAACGTTATATATAATTATGACAAATTATAACATAATATTATTTTACAATAATTTTAAATATTAATAATTATTTTCATGTGACTTTTATGATCCAAACAACATTTAAAGTGTTGCTAAGTTTTCTTTATACACCCCATCGACACCCGTTTGGTCCGTGGTTTTTAATTTATTTGTTCTGAAAATAAAAAATTGCGGTAATAATAATTATTCATATATAATAATCATCACAAATAATACAGATTATTATTATTAAAATTAAATTAAACACACTTTTTATCATTATATTCAGTCCTTTCACTGGGAGTCATGTTAAGGAATCCGCCCTTATTTTCGTCGATTACAAACAACACCATTATTGCCATAATTGATACTAAAGAATCATGATTATTATTGTACGTTAATGTAATTATGCATTAAATTAATCATGGTCATACCCGATAATAATGCTAAAAACAATATTTCCAACACTAAATATCCTTTACTGTCGACAATGACAGCCATAGCCATGGGAACGACACCTAAGCCTAAATTCTGTATGGCTTGCGTGAGGCCATACGCTGTGCCCAGAGTTCGCTCCGGCACTACAAATGATATCATTGCCCATATAGTGCAGGCAAGTAATGAATAGCCGATACCCAACGTAACCATTCCGACCCATGGCGTCAGAAATGTGAAAGCAAACAAGGCGTGTGCGG